TAAAACAACCATTTGTTTTCTTAATGAGACACTCCTTTAATATAAGCATAAAGAAAAATTTACATAAAGACATGAAAATATATACCATGCAACACAAACTTGTTAAAATGCTGTAATTAGCCGGGCTTGGTGGCTCAGCCTGTAATCCTGTGTCTTTGGGAGGTTGAGGTGAGTGGATTGCCTGAGCCCACAGGTTCAAGACCCGCCTGGGCAACGAGACCTCATCTCTACAATAAATCAAAAAAAAAAAAATCAGCCGGGCGTGGTAGCGCATGCCTGTAATTCCGGCTACTGGGAAGGCTGAGGCGGAAGGATCGCCGGAGCCCAGCAGGTCGAGGCTGTGGTGGCCGGGAGCGGCCACTGCACTCCAGTCTGAGCGACAGAGTGAGACTCCGACTCAAAAAAAAAAAAAAAAAAATGCTGTGATTAATGTCATAATATAAGGGAAAAACATTATTGAAAATAATGATGTATGCTTCCTAAAAATATATTTATTACTGAACCATTGGTATTATTTTAAAAATATTGTATATGCATTTCGTAATACAAGTTCAGCATAGAATTGAAAGAAGTACATAAGTAAATAATCTCTTGCTGCTTAAACCGCAGATATTTCAGTGAACCTATAGAAGATTTAAACTAAAAAAATTAACCAGCACACACATGGACACTCATATATACTCTCTATTCAAATGTTGAATATTTATATTTTTAAGTTCACATGAACGTGTTCCAAAAGTACACTATAACCTCATATTGCCAAGCATATTAATATAAAAATACAGTGTTGTACTTTCGATGCAGTACCACTAGCTGCCAAGTTTTGTTATTGAACACTTGAACTACTCAAATTTAATATTAATTAATTAAAATAAGTAACTTTTAACTTTTATTCCCACAGTCACATTCCCACATTTATACACAGACACAGAGCACTTCTATCTTCACAAGAAATGTTGTGACTACAGTTTATTTAAAATAGAAGTCAAAGCTGGGCTCGGTGGCTCAGCCTGTAATCCCGCGCCTTTGGGAGGCTGAGGTGAGTGGATTGCCTGAGCCCGTGGGTTCGAAACCCGCTTGGGCAGCTAGACTTCATCTCTACAATAAAAAAAAATAAAAAAAAAAAAAATCAGCCGGGCATGGTAGCACATGCCTGTAATCCCAGCTTCTTGAAAGGCTGAGGTGGAAGGATCGCCGAAGCCCAGCAGGTCGAGGCTGCGGTGGCCGGAAGTGGCCACTGCACTCCAGTCTGGGCGACAAAGTGAGACTCCTACTCAAACAACAACAATAACAAAAAAAAAAATAAATAAAATAAAATAAAATAGAAGTCAACCCCAAATTCAAAAACCCATATGGCTTTTAATTCAGTAATATATCTATAAATAATGTAAGGGCTCCAAAAACACCATAATAAATATTCAAAATTGTATATGAATCACAAGAAAAATAAAGCCTTTCTTGTGAAAAAACTGATTGTCTTAAATGTATGCACTACAAATGACAAAAGCAGAAATTCAATCATCCGAGAATTCATCAAAGAAATTTAAAATAGGAAACCTGACATTTACTGACATTAAATACAAGCAAAGAAGTAGAAAGAAAATATAATTAGTACAAAATAATAAAATAGAGCAGAATTACAGCAGGCATGTACAATAGGCAAAAGTATTTTCACATATGTATCTAACCCTGAGTTGGACCCCATATCGCTAAAATAAATAATAAATAAAATAAAATAAAAAAGTATAAAAATGTGATAAAAGAATATTGAAAAGAAAAATCAGAGAAGGCACAGATATTTTATTTCTGAATTAAACATGAGAAACCAATGTGGATTTTACAGATATTAACAGTAATAAAACTATATTCTGTATGCATTTTAATATCCATATAAGTTTTTTTCTAACAAATACAAGTTATCAAAATGCAATACAACAAACAGAAACTTTGTATACCCTACATGTATTAAAGAAGTTGAAGCCGGGTTTGGTGGCTCAACTTGTAATCCCGCGCCTTTGGGAGGCTGAGCTGAGTGGATTGCCTGAGCCCGCGGGTTCGAGACTCGCCTGGGCACCGAGACCTCATCTCTTTAATAAATCAAAAAAAATCAGGCGTGGAAGTGCATGCCTGTAATTCTGGCTACTCAGAAGGCTGAGGTGGAAGGGTCGCCGGAGCCCAGCAGGTCGTGGCTGCGGTGACCGGGAGCGGCCACTGCACTCCAGTCTGGGCAACAGAGGGAGACTCCAACTCAAAAAAAATAAAATAAAAAAATAAATAAATAAATAAATAAATAAATAAATAAATTGAGTTTGTTAGAAAGACTTTTCTGCAAGAATACTCTAGAAACTCAAATGACATCATTACTAAGTAATAACATTTTAAAACTAAACAGTACTTTTACACAAAGGCTCTAGGTTATTAAAAAATGGAATGCTTCTCAATACAGCTTTGATAGCAAATGCATTTCATTGATAACAATAATAAAAATGCAGCAGCAATCGATAACATCTACTAGAAAAATAAGAATATCATAAAATTGCTTCAATATAAAAAAGTTACAATAAAATAGCTAACCATAAATGAAATATTTTAACCAAATAGGAAATCATGCATATTACACACATAGAATTTTTATTATACCTTCTGTTTAACATTAGACAGTGAAAATATAAAAAAGAAAGGAAATCATAGCACCTGGAGAGAGAAAATTTAAAAAATGTGATAATTTACATATATAATATTTGATTATATGGAAAGTGAAAAAAATCTATACTTGAAATTATAGATTTAATACATAAAACCTATGAAGTAGCTGAATATAAGATCAACATGCAAACTTCAATTTTATTTTTGGCAATAGTCACAAACATGTCTAAAATTAATTTTGAAATAAAGATGTCATTTACAAAAACAAAAATGGGAAATATCTATATTTATCTATGACTTCAAAACTGAAAAATACAAAGATATGATAAAGAGAAATTAAAGAAAATTTAATATATTCAGGGTCACAGCCTGATATTGATTGGATAAGTCAACATTGTAAAGAACCTTAATCTTTAAAAATTGTTAGAGGTTAAATATAGTTCCAAGTGTAATCCCAGGAAAGTTTGCATGAGTGTCATTATTTACTTCACGTCGGATGGGTAATGTGCTTATGTCATAACAAAATTAGGAAGGTATATCACACACATACATGTGCAACCCAATTATCACACTTATAAACTACAAAAAGATTGAGGGATTTGTTTTGTTTAAGTAAAACAGCTTTATTGAGGTGTCATATATGTAGTATCAATTTCATCCACTTAAAATGTTTAATATATTCACAGAGTTAAACCCACCACCACTATCAAAAAGAAACACTGCAGCAATTTTCACTTTCTTTTCCAACTTCTCCTAAGCCTTTGGCAACCACTATTCTACTTTCTTTCTCTATGGATTTGACTATTCTTGATATTTCATACAAACAGATTCAAATAATGTGTAACTTTTAGAAAGGTTGAATGTTACAAATATAACGTTCAGCAAAAAGAGTCAAACACAAAAGCAGTGACATCTGTGTTGGTGGTGTGTGTATTATACTTCAGTAACTAATTTTGAAATTTATTTTCATTATTGAAACAAACACCATAATTCATCTTTAGACTTTCTGCAAACTATTTTTCCATTTGAAATATAAAATTACCTGGCAGACTCCAAACTCAGGTACTTGAATTCTAAAGTTTATGCTTACAAATATATATTTGTGAAGATCCACATGTGTCTGCCTTAAATGCATGGAAGTGTAACTTTGCACAGTTCCGTTGGGCAGAAAGTAAGTCTGTTACACTGTAATGGACAAAAGCCATAATTATCCTTTGGGCAGATAATCTATGAAACAAGACAATTTTTCATGTATCATAAGAAAAAAATATCCTGAAAACAGATGATGATATTTCTCAAATAACATTAGTAATAGCTTATTATTAAACAAAACCCTTTTATCCTTGGGGGAGACATTAACCCCAGTGGATGTATGAAACCATGAATATTCCCAATCCCTATATTAGTAAATACAATGTTTTTCCTATGCATACATACATACACACTTATAGTAAAGTTTCTTTATAAATTAGGCACAAAAGATTGACAATATTCGATAATATGGCACAATAATTACAACATTATGCTTGCATCACTACTCTTGGATTTGAGGCTCTCTTTAAGTAAACTAAGAATGATGAACACAGGCACTACAATGACAGTGGCTCTCATAACTAGATGATCACTAAGTGACCAACGGGCAGGTGGTATAGACAGTGTGGATACTCTAGACAAAGCAATGATTCATGTTTCAGATAGGACAGATCAATACTACAAAAGATTTGAACATGCCAGTCAGAAAAAGCATAATTTAAAACTCAGGAATTGTTTTCTTTTCCACAATTTTTCTTCTAATATTTTTGGCTGAGATTGATTTTGAGTAACTGAAACCATAGAAAGCGATATTATAATAAGGATGTCTACTGTGGTCCATTGTTTAATATTTATATTAACACTGTACTAACTTTCTTTCTTTCTTTTTCTTTCTTTTTTTTTTTTTTTTGCGTTGGAGTCTCACTCTGTCGCCCAGACTGGAGTGCAGCCACCGCAGCCTTGACCTGCTGGGCTCCGGCGATCCTTCCACCTCAGCCTTCCAAGTAGCTGGAACTACAGGTGCGCACTACCACACCCGGCTAAGTTTTTTGATTTATTGTAGAGATGAGGTCTCGTCAAGTTACCCAGGTGGGTCTCGAACCCGCAGACTCAGGCAATCCACTAACCTCAGTCTCCCAAAGCGCGGGATTACAGGTTGCACCTACAGGCTGCACGGGATTACAGGCAGCCGAGCCCGACTTGTACTAACTTTCAAAATCTTTCTTCATGTCTATAAACCAACCAAACTTATTCATATTATTCTTTGAATTTCGCCTTTCATATGTTTTCCTTTATATAGAACCATTAAAAAAAAACAAAACTTACTTAAGTTTGAACGTTGAGCCCTTTGACATCCATGGACGATCACTGCTGCTACGGGAGACTCCAATCCATGCTTCAGATAACAGGGAGGCCAGAAGTTTCTAACAGAAGATTTTTTAAAATAATTTAAATGATCATAATTGAGTTTATTAATTTTTAAAAGTGTATATAGTGTATTTTTTTCTTAAAATTCTTAATTTTAAGCAATGAATATATTAAACTATATATTAAAGTAAAAAACCAGTTTTTGTAGTGCCTACTTTTTTTTTTAAGATGTGGGGTACAATTTAGGGTTAGGTACATAAGTGGGCATCGGACAGGTGAAGTTTGTGCCTCCCATTGGTTCTCACCTTGGTTTGGGATCAGGAAACCTTTTTAATGTTATGTGGCCATACCCCCTCCATCCCCTAGCAGTGACCTGCTACTGCCAATCTCTTTCATGAAGTATTATGATAAATGTGCAGGGTCCACTTATGAGTGAGAACATGTGGTACTCAGTTCTTTGTGTCTGTGATAGATCATTGAATATGATAGACTCTAAATCCATCTGAGTTGCTGTGAAGTCCATAATTTTGTTCTTCTTTGTGGCTGTGTAATATTCCATCCTGTATATGTACCACATTTTTTTAATACAGTCCACTTTCAGTGGGTAGCATGGTTGACTCCATGTTTTTGCTATTGTGAATAGTGCCGCAGTAAACATACGTGCACAGGTATCTTTTTGGCTGAATATATATATTTTTTTTTACAAATTCAAGGGGTATAAGAACATTTTTATTACATGTATATATCGCCTGGTGGTGAAGTCCAGGCTTGATGTGCAACTATCATCTAAATAATGTACACTCTACCCATTAAATAATTTCTCATACCTCATCCCCTCCCTCTCTCCCACCCTTCAGTGTTTTCAGTGTCTGTTACTTCACTTTTTATGTCCATCTGTACCCACTTACATATGAAAACATGTAGTATATGATTTCCTGTTTCTGAAATATTTTGCTTAAGATAATCTTTAGTTCTATTCCTATTGCTACAAAAGACATGGTTTCTTTTTTATGGTCATGTGATATTCCTTAGGGTATGTGTGTATGTTTGTGTGTGTGTGTATTATAATACCTTTGACGTTCTGAACGTCATCAAATGTCTTTTTTTCAATATTTCCTTTTTTTTATGAGCAAAGAAAAAGGTCATTGCTGGGAGGATAAGGTGAGTAGGGAGGATGTTCCAATACAGTTATTTGTACAGTGCTGCCAACAAAAGTGCATGGTGGCAAGTTCGCAACCTTAATTGTCATACCTCAACAAATAATGATGACAGGTCTGTTTATCATTCCAGAGAAAGAGTTTCAAAATTGCTTTGATGGATGAACTAGGCACTGGCATTGGTGCATAGCTTCCAAAGGGGAGTACTCGGAAGATGACCATAGTGATATTCAGCAATGAGTTATGTAGCACTTTTCCAGGATGATTCATGAATCTAATTGTCAGACCTCACACATACATATCACATTGTCTTTATCCAATCATTTGTTGGTGAATTGCTTCCATATCTTTGCTACTGTGAATAATGCTGCAGTAAATGTATACTACACGTCTCTTCATTTGCTTTCATTTGTGTAGATACCCAGTAGTGGGTAGGTTGGATTAAATGGTAACTCTGTTTTTAATTTTTTGAAAAATCCCCAAATTGTTTCCCACAGATATTGTACTAATTTACATTCCTGCCAATAGCATCTAAGGTTATTTTTTTCTCCACATGCTTGTAATCATCTGTTACTTTTTTTTTTTTTTTTTTGAGTTGGAGTCTCACTTTGTCACCCAGACTGGAGTGCAGTGGGCACTCCTGGCCACCACAGACTCGACCTGCTGGGCTCCGGCCATCCTTCCACCTCAGCCTTCCAAGTAGCTGGAACTACAGGCACATGCTACCACACCCAGCTAATTTTTTGATTTATTGTAGAGATGAGGTTCTCACCAAGTTGCCCAGGCGGGTCTCGAATCCACGGGCTCAGGGAATTCTGACTGGTGTAAGATGGCATCTCATTGTTTTCATTTGCATTTCTCTGATGATTAGTGATGTTGAGTATTTTTGTATGTTTGCTGGCCACTTTCACATTTTATTTTGAATAATGTTGATTTAGAAGGAACTCTTAAGTGCATAACTTAATAATGTTATTCTTCCTCTCAAGTTAGTAGTAAAAACTATGATTCACATACTTTGTTATCCATGTTGACAAAACATCATACATTTGAAGAAGTTCTCCAGGTATTGTGACTAAATAAATGTATTAACTTAACGTTATTCATAATTTGATGTTTAGAAGGAAATTAAAAAGCTACCATTGGTCAAAATGCTAAGAACTTCCCTTTGATTGTTTTTTAGGGGTGCCACACTATTTTATACCAGATAAGCTCCCATTTTCATATGTTTTCATTTTGATTGTATACCAAAGTTCCAAGAACAGATGGTATATACTCATTTCTCTGTACTATTCCCTACTAGATCCAACTATAAGCTATAAAGTTAATGAAAGACACAAGCAAAGGAAAACTCTAAATGGTGGAAATAGAAAGCTGAAATGGTTTGAAACCTGAGGATCAGGGATTAACAGAGTGGCCAGGAATTGTAAATCCCCACCCAACAGAGAAAGTGAAGTAGACTTGCAGTCTCCCAGCACCTGACCTAGCAGTGTTTATAATATTAAAAGACAGGGTAATAGTTTGGGGAAGAGACAGTTGTAATGAAGACATATACAAGAATGGGGCTCTTGGTGCTAGAAAAGTCTGTTTCATTATATTTTTTTGCATGTGTCCATTCGCTTTGTGATTGGTCTGCACAATTATGATATACTTAGTTGTTTAATACAATTATATAGTAAAATTAAGTAGCAAAATTTGTTTTAGAATGAAAGTATTTATAGAAGCATGGTTTTCTATGAAAAACAAGAATTGCCGGGCTTGGTGGCTCAGCCTGTAATCCCGCGTCTTTGGGAGGTTGAGGTGAGTGGATTGCCTGAGACCGTGGGTTCACGACCCGCCTGGGCAGCGAGACCTCATCTCTACAATAAATCAAAAAATCAGCCGGGCATGGTAGCGCATGCCTGTAATTCCGGCTACTTGGAAGACTGAGGCGGAAGGATCGCCGGAGTCCAGCAGTTCGAGGCTGTGGTGGCCGGGAGCGGCCACTGCACTCCAGTCTGGGTGACAGAGTGAGACTCTAACTCAAAAAAAAAAAAAAGAAAAAAAAAGAAAAAAAAAAAGAAAAGAAAAGCAAGAATTGAAAGTAATTAAATGTGTATTGATAGAGTATAAATATAAATAAACTATTTTAAGTTAAGTGATAAAATTTTCAAAGTTGAACATAATTCAACAAAATACGTGCAATCATAAAGATTACTTCTACAAATACATTATTGAATCAAATACCCTTTTATACAGTATTTAAAACATTTAAAGTCTTACCACTTCTTCTTCATTATCTATATAAAACAGACTGGCATTCATAGACGCACATGCCATCACACTCTCATCCCAAGTTTTTATTTCATTTCCAATGTAATAACAGCTGTTGAAGTACGTAAACCACTCCTCTGGACAGCGACTGCAATTATATGCTGGGGAAAGATTGTGAGTTACTATATAGAAACAATATGAATATTTTTAATTAAAACAAGTTACAAATTAGCAATGGTTTCTCTCTCACACACACACACACACACACACACATACACATTTGTCTTATATCTATGCATCCTCACAGGTTTGTATATATAATACAAAAAAACCACTTTCTCATACATATACACATACAATTAGGGGCAGCCTCTTCTCCCCTCATTGTGTTCACACATAAAGAAAACCAACGGACAAAAATTAATCTTACACACATCTTGAAATCATTGAACAGATGTACTTTTTCTTTAGAATGGTAAAATTATTTATCACCTATGATATTAGAGCAGTAGGAATTTGTGACAAAATAACAAAGAAGAGGGTATGGTGATTATGAATATTTATATTTATTGATGGAGAAAAGGGAATATTTTCTTATAATTTTTATTTACAAATATTTATTGTTAATTTTTATAATTTACTTTCCCACTAATAAATCTCTGGTTATTTTTGCATAGCTAAGATCATTATAGATTATAAACTTAATTATTTATCAGCACTTTGGAAATCATTATGTACCTTTCTGGGTTCTTGTATTTTGGAAAGAATTGACCTGCTTCTTTGTTGCAGTAGCTAGAAGAATTAAAATAAATCTTCATAAAAAAGTTAGTAATGAATAAGGCATACAAATTTTAGTTTTTTTGAATTTTAGTATATTGTTCAGATATTGAAAAATTTAGAATTTTATAAGGAAAAATATATAATGTAATGAAAGCTTTGGAAAAACATTTTAAAATCATAAAGATCTAAGTTCGACATCTCATACAGTAATTCATTTAACCATTTTCAAAAATTAATTTCTATTTCTCAGTAAGAGTTTTAGTTTTTAGAAAATGTTTTCAGAGTTTAAAATCAGAACATATAAATATATTTCAAGGCAAATACTTTATATTTATTCTTTAATTTATACTTTTAGCAAATTCAGAATAACCATTCAATGTTTAGTTCAAAAGCACATGTTAAAATGAAAATTCCATTCCCTGATATTATAAAATTTTTAGAGGAACTTCTAGTCATTATGGTGAAAAATTCCCCTTTTATTCTTCCAAAATACACTTACAAAGAATAATAACTGTTGCTATCATGGTCACAATTAAGGCAAGACAGATGATTCCCAGGATTGCAGCAATGAGCTTCTCTGGAGGTGATAATAAATCTGCAGAAAGGGAAATAAAAACACGGAGAAAGAAAAGATGGAGACAACTGTATAGAAGATTTATATACAAGAAAATCCACATGTATAAGAATCATATAGATAAACTCAGATTTCAACCCCACATACCAGATAATAATCATTCTATGAAGATATACCATTACATTTTAAGTAAATAATATTCTCCATGACTTGCTGGACAAAGACTACGCATTTCAACAATGTCTGGGTAAAATTAGTCTTCTTATTTCATATTAAAATATCATAATTCATCTTGGAACTCTGATCTTCAGAAATAAAAACCATGTTAGCCCTCCTTGCTCCTTCCCCACACCTCTGGACCCTAGCTGCATATACTGGGCATGTATGCTGAGGATCTATTCAATGCTTTACCTTTGCAGTGGGAAATGTTGTCATTGTCTTGAAAATCCTGAGAAGCATTTTGAAGATTTAATTCCGCATAGGTTATTTCCTGTTCAGTTACTAAAATGGAGCTCAGATTGCCCTTAGGTTTTCTTTGCTGTTTCTTTGGATTTGAGGGCAAATTCAGTTCTGTGTAGATTACTCTTTGATTATCCATCTTTGTAGCTGTGTGAAATCAGGAACTATATAACATCAATGCTTAAGAAGTTAATAAATGATTTATAATGACAAGATCCTTAGTTCAAAGTGAGCAAAATGGAGAGTAAGTACCGATACTCATTTTGAATTGAAGAACCTAAGGTTATTGTTCTAATTTCCTTAGAGCTTAAACAAGTTTCTTATAGAAACGCATTTATTTTAAAAGAAAAGGTTTATACATTTGACAAAATACTATGACTGGTGCAATAAAAAGCAATAAATTAGTAAAAAATAAAGGAGGTTTTGGATAAAAATATACTTATTAGTTAAAATTTGATTTTAATATCAATACATGACTATAACTGTATTAAAAATTAAGATCAGTAAAACCTATATCTTGTTTTTATGGTAATTTTGAAATTTAATGTTTGTTAAGTCTGATCTGTACAAGGAGAGCATGAATGTTGACACATATATTGCTTTTTTACTAAATTACTTTTTATTTAATAGCTTATACTCATTTATTGAAACGCATAAAGAATTATCAAACATTTTTTGAATGGCTGATGAGTTCTGAGAAATTATTTAAAAATACAACAAATTTTATGTTGGAAAATGTTACATGACATAATAAGCTAATGCATGCCAGTATTAGAGTCATTGCTAAATTTTTAAAAATACCTATTTCATAGACATATTGACTACTTCCTGGCTAAAATATAAAGCCATAAAACAGTAAATAAATATGTAGATAATTTATGTAAGAACAATTTTGCTTTAATTGGAGACAAGTATTTTGTGGTTGCCAAAGTGAGTCAAAGTCCTTTTAGTTTGTGTATTTGTAATAATTCAGATAATGTAATTTAATAATTTAGTAAGTGGGCACTGGAATTAGTGAGATCTAGAATTAACTCTGGTTTTAAAACTTATAATGTATATCCTTTAAAAAGTTATTCAATATCTAATAACCTAGCTTATTAATCAGAAATGAGTATCGGGGACAGATTTTTTACATGTATTCATATATGTACTGCATGCAAAGCATTTATCACTAAATTTGGCAGTTAATGCTTTCAATAAATGTCCACTGTTTTAATTTTTATTTATATCATAATTACTATTTTATTGTTTTTTATTTATGTCAGTTAATGCATAGAAAATACGTCATTAGACAAGCTTCTTACACAAGTGTGGAACATCTTTCTACAATATTTTGATCAACTCATAAAGTATTTTGATTATTTCTTAGTAACGTTAGTATGTTATGTAATCTACTTCCTTTATTTTTATTAAAAATAAAAATTGCTTTTATTTAATTTGCATAAGTGTCTGAGGTACTGTATTTGACTTTATTAATTTATTTTAATAATCTAAGAATAATGACTAACCTAAATATAAATGTTATATTATTCAAAGATATGCAATGTACTGATTACAAAATCCAAAATTAATTAATAGTTATGATATTTATAAGTTTCATTTACATTAATATCCAAATATGTGCGAATGCACTTAACTAGCTCTACACTGACAATAATTTGAAAACTTTAAGAAATCCTCCAATATATTTCAGGTCTCTATCCTGAATTATTTGAATAAAGATATCAATGTTATATTTTAATTTTATTGTATAATAATTGTAGCTTCATTGCATCACATCTAGCACTTGTAACCTCCCACTAAATGAGGCAAGCTAATAGAGAGAGGAAAAGTAGCAACACATACCTTCTGTCTTCAGAAAGTCATGCATCCTTTAGTGGAGATGCTGAGTAATAAAAGGTGAAATTTAAAGGCATAAATCCAGAACAACAACAAACAATATCTGTTTTCTTCACTGACTACCCTGTGAAGGCTTAGAGTGAGGCAAGAGTGGAAAAAGTAGATTTCTCATCTCAATCTCTCACTTAAGGTTTGAACAGGAAATTCTCATGCAAGGGCTCTTTTGAAATCAGTTTATTTCATTGCACACTTGCAAAATATAGGAGATTTTGGGCACCTGTAAAAATGGCCAAAGTAGGTTTTGAACATATGTCATTTAGTTTGTTCTTATGTAAGTGCCTCTGATAAATTATCTTTGTATTCTACAAGACATGGAGGATAGAGTTACCACATATATAGTTAACATTTTTCCATCTCAATCAAAAACATTGCCAACTTGACTTGTTAAGCGTCTTAGCTGTTTAAAAGCCACTTGTCGACTAGATTGCTGGATATTAAGCATTACAAATGTCTTTCCTCCATATCCTTATTATGTCACACTATTATGATAGAAAGAACTCTAAAATTTATAACACTGCCAACATGAATTTGCTAATATTCATCACTAATTATTTCTCTGTTTTAACTTACTGTAGGTGGCACAAACACCATTTTTGCTAAAGTTATATTCTTGACTTATCTGCAATAGTCCTTAGATTCCTGCAATTAATGTTTTAAAGAAATTATTTAATTTTTAAATTTCTCTTGATAAAAATAAATATATCTGGAATGATAAAACATTAATCAATGGTATAATATTAAATAACTGTTCACTATATTCTACATTCATTCATCCATCCTCTACCATGACAAATTATTACTATTTTAATAGGAATATTTAATTGCAAATGACAAAGACCCAAGTCAAACTATACATGGAAAATAAAGTAATTTTGAAATCTCACCTGGGAGGTAAACTCAGCAAGTTGGTATAATATGAGGTTCTCCATTTATATCCCTCTAAGGCAACAAAAAACATTCAGTTATCCATGGATAAAAGTACCTTAGTGGGAGCCTCAGGATTCAGGGAGGAGTTTGTAAAACCCCAGAGGAGTACAAAATCTAGGAGGATTGTTTTAAAGGATGCATTTGCACCCAAATGGCAGACTCACTGACAGGGATTCGATCTCCAGACATGAAAATGGCCCCATAACCTTGTGCACTTGACTTCAGCCCCATTTGCCTTTGGTTGTGCTACCAAAGATATCTACTAAGGGAACCAGGAGGGGAAACACACTAGTGCTCAGGAGATAGGCCTATCAACAGTGGTCTCTGTGTGTCCCATGAAAAAAATCCCTTTAACTTGGCTTTAGCTGGTCTCAGCTACAATCTGAGATCAGTCCTGCATCCACATAACCTTTTGGATAGATATGCACATCTGTGTCCCTGAGATCAGCAAGCCTATAGAAGACACTGAATGGCCATGAGTTTCAGCTGCAGCCCCTCTCAACTGTGGCCAGGTTCCCCACAGAAAATTGCTGAGAGACTCACCCATCTTTGCTACCAGTACAGGTTTCCCGACTTCGGTTCCACAGCCCATCCTGAAACATCCCTGAATCTTGAGACTATCCCTTCCAGCTGACCAGTTTTGCCTGCTCAAGATCTAGAAGAGGGTCCTGTTCATCCATATCTACTGGCAGACCATTAACGTAGGTTCTACAGCAGATCTTATAACATGTTTGATGGTCTCTGACTTTTACTATTTAATTTTACTATTCCTGAACTATGTAAGAACATAAAACCATCCACCTCCATTGTGTCACTTTCCTATTTTTTGTTGCTACATGTTTTATTTGTAAACTTGTAAAATAAGATATTATTATTGTTGCTGTTTTAAACTTCATTCCTTCACACATTTATCTGGAAAGAGCTCATTTTTTAAATTTAGTTTTTGCTTTCACCTGTGATTATATTCTATTGGCCTTAAGAATTTCCTTTGCTATTTTTTGTACTGCCTGTCTTCCAATTGACAATTTTATCAGTTTTTTTCTGAAAATTTTATTTCATATACATTTTTGACACTATGTTTTCTTATTATGTAATTTAAAATTTTTAGATTTTTAATTTATTTTATCACTTATTGCTATTATACCTTTTACTTTGACTTACAGAGCCTGTTTGATAAACATAAGCTATATTATTTTTGTTTTTTTTTGATGACAGTGGGTTAGTCTGATATTATAATTTGATTTGTCTTTGAGAAATATGACTGTTATGTATGTTAGTGTAATTTTCTTTACTTTATGCATTATTTGGTTTATTGAGATTCTTGAAGTTATGACTTAATGTCTTTAATAATTTGGGGAAAATCCTTAGCCATTATATTTTCAAATGGTTATTCTGTCTCATTTTCTTTTAATCCCTCTTCATTTCTAATTTTACCTACTTTAAAGCTTTGTACTGCAACACATCTCACATGCTTTGTATTGTTGATTTTTAGTTAATTAAAATTTTTTTTCTCTGTGCTTTCTTTTAAATATTTTCTACAGATTTGCTTACTTGTTGAATAATTTAGTGTTCTCTTGTGTCCAATGGATGACAAAACTCATCATTCAATTACTTAATTTTAGATATTTTATTTCTAATTCTAAATATCTACTTATTTTACATAGATTCTAATATCTACAAAATTTTTATACTTCCACTTTTTTGTCCACTTCTCTATTATGTGTTTTAATCTTTTTTTAATATATATTTTTTATTTTAAAGTTGTGGGGTACAGTTAAGGGTTAGGTATACAAATAGTCATTGTGCAGGTACCCTTGTTGATGAGGTTTGTCCCCTTTTCCCCAGACAGATATTGACTACCATTAATCCCACCTCCCTTCCCCTCCCTGTCTCCCCCCATAGTTTCCTGCCACTGTCAATCCTTTTCTTGTAGTATAATGGTTGTTGTTCAATGACCACTTATGAGTGAGAACATGTGATGCTCAGATCCTTGTTTCTGTGAGAGATCACTTAATATTATAAACTCTAATTCCATCCAGGTTGCTGTGGAATTCATGATTTTGCTCTTTTTTATGGCTGCGTAATATTTCATTGTGTATATATACCACATTTTAAAAATCCAGTCCTCTTTTGATGGACAGCATGGTTTGTTCCATGATCTTGCTATTGTGGACAATGCTGCAATAAACATACATGTGCAGATATCTTTTTTTATAGAGTGAATTGAGTTCTTCAGGGTATATTCCCAGTAGGGGGATTGCGGGGTCATATGGAAGGTCGATTTTTAGAGTTTTTAGGAATTGCCACACTGAT